AGATCTTTTTGGTTTAATGATTATAAAATAACACATCAATTCAAAATGATTTCAGACATAATACTCATTTATAAAGGAAAATATTTCTGCTGCGTCGTTGTCAACTGTCAAAGCATAACGACTGACTACATACAATTTTTATCAATATGGAATAAATCCAGGGAAGTTATGTTTTTTGTTATGTATTTTATTTATAGAGTAAAGTGCTTTTATTTACACCGTAAATGATTGTATTTCAGGGAAAGATGCGGGGTACAGCACATTTCAAATTAATATGAAGCTATGTAATATGGTCCTTCACTGCTGGCCGTATGAGGAAGCTCAAGGTCGCTCAGCGAGCTATGGAGAGGGCTATGCTCGGAGTTTCTCTGCGTGATAAACTTAGGAATGAGGATATCCGCAGTAGAACCAGAGTGACCGACATAGCCCAACGGATTAGTAAGCTGAAGTGGCAGTGGGCCGGCCATATAGCTCGAAGAACCGACAACCGATGGGGAAGAAAGGTTCTCGAGTGGCAGCCTCGTACCGGTAGGCGAAGTGTAGGGCGTCCCCCCACGAGATGGAGTGACGACCTGGTAAGACATGCAGGAAGTCGATGGATGCAGGTGGCTCAGGACCGTGCTTTGTGGCATTCTTTGGGGGAGGCCTATGTTCAGCAGTGGACTTGTGAAGGGCTGTAATGATGATGATGATATGTAATATAAAGACTTTTGAGTGCTGTAGAGAACTGCTTAGACTTTTTAATGAATATCTCTGCTCCCCTACATTCACAGCCGGATTTCCTACAGTGTAAAAATTGTGCCGACGGTAGGCTGTTTAAATGTAAAAGGGGATTAAATATACATATTAAACGATCCCATAATAAAAGTATTTCGGCTTCACAGCCCACCGTAGAAATTTATAACTTTATTAGCAATTCCTCTAATGACACAAATATTTCCCTTTTTTTTTCACAAATAATTCCTAGAGGTGCAAGAATTGCTAAAGCATTAGCATGCACTATTCAAAATTGTTTTACTAATAGTGAAAATAGTTGGCAAAAATTATTTACTTTCGCGTATTCCCATTTTCATTTTGATAAAACAATAAAGAAATCAATTACGTCACAACTAAAAGAGACATCTTTCCAAAATTTAGATTACCCAATTAATACTCATTTATCTCGACCACGTCCTAAATTTGATTTAAAAAAAGGAGTTGAGTCGAAAGTAATGGATGGCAACTTAAAAAATGTATCCCGTATTTTATTCTCAGACAACATCCTGGCTCCTCCGAATGTCGAAACTCTTGAAAGCCTTCGTCAAAAGCATCCTTCGGCCAAACCTTCTCAGGGTTTACCGCTGCGTCCCAAAACTTCTATGCCACCTTTACAAATTTCTGAAAAAAGACACTTTAGAAGCAATTATGCCATTTTCGAATGGCTCTGCTGGCGGCATTGACGGAATTACGCCTCAACATCTTAAAGATCTTGTAAGCGCTTCTGCCGGTGACGCCGGCGGAGTACTTCTTAAAGACATTACAAAATTATGTAACTTTATGCTTTCTGGTAATGTTAATCCAAATTTCATTGCATTCTTATATGGTGCAAGATTATGTGCCATCAAAAAAAGGATAACATATCCGTCCTATTACCATTGGTTCCACATTAATATGCTTAATTTCCAAATTAGCTTGCAGGCACATAATCTTTAACCTTAAGACCAAATTTCAGCCTACTCAACTAGGCTTTGGCACTAGAGGTGGCTGTGAGGCGGCAGTATATTCAGTGCGTACATTTTTAACAAACTCTAATGCAGAGTTTCTTGTGAAGGTTGACCTAAGGAATGTTTTTAATTCTATCGATAGGGTAACCTTGCTGAACGAAGTGGCTAACAATACCCCCGAAATTTATCATTAAGTTTGGCAATGTTATAGTCGAACTACTAACTTGTTTTACGAAAACCATGTTATCGATTCTGCTGTCGGTGTTCAGCAGTGTGACCCACTAGGTCCAGCACTTTTCAGTTTTGGAATTCATCCCATTATTTCAAATTTGAAATCCAAGCTGAATGTCTGGTACACTGGGAGGTAGAGCAGATGACGACCTCAGTGATCTTACTCATATTTTTCGAAATTTTATAGATATTGGTCTTGAACCAAATAGCAATAAATGGGAAATGTTTTTTTCAATAATTTATGTACTTCTCATAGAGACACTTTAATTCAAAATTTCAATCATGTTTCTCGATTAATAAAAACTCTTAGTACGGAATCACAACACCCGCTAGGTGCTCCGTTGTTTTTCGATAGTATTAAACCTGTTTTAAAAACAAATTTGATCAGTTTTTAAACCACTTTGAAAAATTGTATAAATTAAACCCCCATATAGCTCTTATTATTTTAAAATATTTTCTTCTTGTACCTAGATTTACATACTTACTCCGCTCGAGTCCAGTCTGGAAATGTTCGGATATTTTAAAAGATATTGATAATAATCTTAAAATAGCTATAGAAAAAATTCTAAATTTAACTTTAAATACTCAAGGACTCAAGCTACTTTACCTATAAAATTTGGTGGTATTGGTGTGAGAAATCTATCTAGCATTGCATTGCCTGCTTTCCTTGCTTCCGTGCATAGTGTCAATGACTTATGTAACATAATTTTAAATAATAAAGTAGACCTGTGCTTTGCTACGGAGGCAGGGCAGACATGGCAAACGCTCTGTCCCTGTAAAAATATTCCACTGGAAGTTAACCAACAAAAACAGTAGGCTATTCCGTTGGTACAGGGCGTGAAAAAAGATTTGTTTCATAATTGCCATAGTGACCAAGATAAGGCATGCCTTCTAGCTGTTTCGACTAAGGAATCTAGTCACTGGTTACACGCTTTACCATCAAGTAATCTCAGCACATTTCTTGATGGGGAATGCTTGCGCATTGCCGTAGAAATCCGACTAGGAGCGGCGATTTGTCAACCCCATCAGTGCCCCTGTGGTAGCAGCGTTGACAAGTTTGGGCTCCACGGACTTTCATTTAAGAAAAGTGCTGGTAGATTTTCACGACACAGTTCTTTGAACGATGTCATCGGAAGGGCTCTTGTCTCTATAAATGTTCCCTCGGCTTTAGAGCCATGTGGAATACTTGAGAGACGATGGAAGAAGACCCGACGGTATGACATTGGTCCCTTGGGAGAGAGGTAAAGCTCTAATGTATGATGCTACTTGCATAGACACTCTAGCGGCCTCTCATATCAGGGGTATCTCGTTTAGGTTTAGGGGTGGCATCAGAGGCAGCTGAACTGAGTAAGTGACGCAAATATGAATCTCTGAGAGATGACTACATATTTGTGCCATTTGCTGTAGAGACTATCGGTCCGTGGGGTCCACGTGCGGTGAAGTTCCAAAAGAAACTCCATCCGCGGCTGGTCGTTGCTGCTGATGATAAAGAGGGCTGGTACTTTTCTTGCTCAAAGGCTAAGTATAGCCATTCAGCGGGGAAACGCAGCCAGCGTTCTTGGCACGATACCACGGGGAGTCGGACTATATGATAATTAAGTTTCTAGTTTTAGTTTTTTTTAATTATTATTATAGATTCAAAATAAATGTTTCAAAAGTGTTGTAACGAAAGAAATACTGCATTGTTTTTACAATTATTTATATCGATATTAAAGTCGACAGCTGCAATATACTACCTCAAATAAAACGTTAAAAATGCTTGTAACAACCTTCAAAATTACGAGAGAGCAGTAGCATATCCATCTCCTTCTAAAACACTGCCAGGTTCATTAGTGAAAATAATACCCAATGCGTTGTTTCAATTTTAATCCGGTTTCTATGCTTTAGATATTGTTCTGAAATATAAATCACCATGTATAATCGTATGGTATTCACGGATTCACTATATCAGTCGTTAGCGTATTCCCGTAAACTAATAAGAAGTACTAGGCCTACCCCTCAAAACTATGAACCTACTATTTTTCTATACGTCCATGCTCAGAACAATAACCATAGACATAGAGAGTATGGACTGTGCGTTCCGTATTCAGTTCCGCAGTGAATACAAGCCGAAAAGTGCAAGAGAGACAAAGCGAATGTGCGGCTAGTAGTTGTCTCTTTCTAGAATTCTGATTGGTCCATGTCACTGGCTTGCAGGACGTGGACCAATCAGGATTGCAGAAAAGAGAGAGGTATTGGTCGTACAGTTACTTTGTCTCTTTCTAGAGAATGGCCACTTTTATTAAGATTACGCTCAGTCAGTCCATTCTCTCTGTGTCTATGACAAAAACTAAAGTATCCACAGACTATTGAGAGCATTTCGTAATATCGCTGTGCTCTGACTCTGAATGACTGCTTTCTTCTTTATAATAAATGGCTTTACGGCTCTGGGATCTAGCCTTTCTGAGCCTGAAGTTACAATATATTATAATATCCTTCATAGTATATTGATGCGTCACATTGTGCAGCGCTTGGGAGATTTTGACGGCAACTTGAACTAGCAGACAGCTGACGGTTGGCGATGGTATCTCAAGGCGCCTAAACAGACAGACACCTTATTTTGAGAATCCCATCACCATCAGAGCACTTTTTTCACAGTTTCCACTAATAGTTCACATACGCAAACACTTAATACATAAAATTGCACCACTTTTACATATCAAAGTCCACTTCAAACCATTATTTAAACAATAATACAGGAGCAGCAAACCGCCACCGGTCAAGTTCCCGTCAAAACTCTTTGAATGACTGCTAGTACGTCCATGACAAAGAGTATAGTAATTGTCCTATACAGGAATGGTCCATGATGACTGCACACTCGTATCCCTTGGCAAGAAAAGTACAATGAACTACTTAAGCCTCTCCTAAAAACGCTCACCAAATACTCTTATTATATTTTAATACAATTTATGATGAACTTTATTATGAGATATAAACGTTGTTCCGTATATTTAATAACAGAGTAGAAATGTGATCAAAATGTCATTATCCAAAGCTACAAAACTTTTATAGTGTCTATGGCTTTCATTTTGTGAGTGTTCCCGTCGTTTGCCGCTGCCGGTTTCTACTTTCTTCTGTTAAAACGAATTCAAGTTAATAATAAGTTGATTAAAAAATATTTACGATGCTCACCGAAACTACATTATCACTAATACAAATATTAGAAAAGACTATTTCACCAGGTAAGCAGAAACATTTTCATCTATAGGCATGGCGTTTCTTTATTGTCAACTGACATTGCACGTAGCATGTAACATCATTTTCTCCTATTGTCTGATGATGAGAGTGGCATAAAATGATATAATATAGTTATCGGTTGTTTGTTAAAGTACTAAGCAATGTGTAGTATTGTGTAGCAAAACTTGGATATGTATGTCTGCTCTGACAATATTTTACCTGACAGTTGCCTAAGAAATTTCTAGGAAAGGTTATTTGTTTTCAAATTAAAAAAAATATATAATACTTTCTAATAAGATTTATGCGTATCTCTATTATCAGCATTTTCTTTTAGACAATTCTGACTATGGTGCTGCCACACTTTTTTATTATGTCAACTAAGAATAATATTTAGTTATATATTATATATTGCAGATCGAAATGAATTGGAAGCAGCTGAGAAATACCTTGACCATGCAGCGATCACTAATTTCACTGCTTTCATCAAGATGCTATCAGATGTATTGGTACAAGGAGGTAACAGCCAGGTGGCACGAATGGCTGCTGGTCTACAAATAAAAAACCACCTTACCTCTAAAGACCCTTTAATAAAACAACAATATCAACAGAGATGGCTGTCACTACCTGAGGATATAAGACTGTACATTAAAAAAAATGTGAGTTATGATATTTCTTATTTTCTGCAATTTAATGTGTATTAGACAGCTTTGCAGTATATACTATTAACTATTTGAAAACTTCAAGTATAATGTTTATGTTCATATTAAAAATGTATTTTTATCTCCTGTTCATATAGATTTTAACAGCTATAGGCACAGAAAACAGCAGGCCTAGTTCTGCTGCACAATGTGTTGCATATGTAGCTGTAGCTGAACTTCCAGTTGGCCAGTGGAACGACCTCATACCAATTCTTGTAGAAAATGTAGTAAATGCTCAATCCACAGAGTTAAAGAAGGAAGCAACGCTGGAAGCTATTGGTAAGTTTCCATCTGATAATAATCTTTTAAATTTTTAGAGTTATATATATTGCGTCATATATAGATTTAATGATATCCTAGTTTCTAGACAATTTTAGCTAGTATTGTACACTTAGTGTGGGTATAAACTTATTGAAGTATTTTATATTACAGATGTAACTATATTTTTTATCAACATATAAAACGGATAACATCTTGTATTGCATAAAAACACAATACCTCTTGCAGTTTGGAAAACATGTATCTTTATTGCAGTAGTGGATTTGTTAATATTGTATTTTTGTTGTCATTAATATCATAGTTTTGTAAATGAGACTGTAATATAGATTTGTCAAATTTAACAGGAAGATTATTACTAAATACTCACTTTTGGTTGGTACTGCTTTCCATCACTGGCCTGTTAAGATAGTTATAATAGTATATTTCTTGACCTTTAGTGTTTTTTATAATTTTCCTTCGATTACTTTTGCCACCATTATTTGAACATATTATACTCTTAACTATTTTTACTTTTAGGATACATTTGTCAAGAAATTGATGCCGAAGTCTTAACAGAACAAAGTAATCCAATTCTCACTGCCATTATACATGGAATGAGATCAAATGAACCTAGTAATCATGTTAGACTTGCAGCAACTCAGGCTTTGTTGAACTCACTTGAATTCACTAAAGCCAATTTTGATAAAGAAAATGAAAGGAATTTTATAATGGAAGTTGTTTGCGAAGCCACCCAGTCTACTGACATGAGAATCAGTGTTGCTGCTTTGCAGTGTTTAGTGAGTATTATTTTTTCCATAATAGTAATGCAGCTTTGTATTAGTATGTCATCTAAAGCTTTACAGTGATTTTAAGTGGATATTGTAGATGCTGGTTAACCTTTTTGTTTAGTAGTACTATTTGTAATATTAGGAAAATAAACAATTTAGATCGTTTGAATAAACAAAAGGATTTATAACAAGACAGCCTAGTCTGATGTGCCTTTTGTTCACAATTTTTTTTTAAATTGTGCTGGTATGTCATATTGCAAAGTTTTTTCAAGATATAACAATAGTTCAACCCAGTGAACAGTTGGTGACAACAATTCTGCGTTAATCTTTGTAGATAAAAACCTTCTAATAATTTTAGCGGATGAAAATTCTTTAAAAAAATTAACAGCTATTGCAGTGGCATAGGAAAGATCGCAGACCTAAAGCTAAATTTAAATAAGGTAATTTTAGTCTAAAAACATGCAAATTTGCTTAGTAAGTTATAGAGTGGAATTTGTGTCACCATTATGGCACTCGTTACATTGTTTTCACTAATAGTTCACATGCAATAAACAAAATCTCATCACTTTTACTTACCAAAATCTATTTCAACCCATTTAAGCTAGGCGACAACCCGCCATCCACTGGCTGCATTCACCCGTAGGTGCAGGGGAATGCCTGATTCCTTGTACACACTGTTTCAAAAATGTGAAAGCACCTATCAAGAAATATCAGCGACATTATGTTGAGGTACAGCTGGATGAATGTGTAACCTACTTTCATTTACTGGTGAATGAAGCTGGTGATGGAGATGCAGGTTGATTGTCACCCAAAAAGCTTACAACATTAATAATAGTTGAAATTGATGATTCTTTATTTTCAATTCTCCCTACTGGAAAAGAACTAAGTAGGTGTGTTAAATAGCTGCTAGAAACTGTAGTTAAGAGACTTGATAATATTGCACCAACAAAAAACTATATGTGCAAAGTAGGATTGAGGGTAATCCACTTTCCACATAGACTTCGCACATTGTAGAGCATGTTTTGCAGAGAGATTGTGGTAAAAATTACCTCATTTCTATTTTATTATTTCTCGAAAACTACTGGTTTCCCCACCCCTCTTCACCTTCTCCACAACAACTTTTAAATCATTAGATGAGATATTAATAAAACCAACTTATGGTTAAGCTTTTTTAATTCCCACTTTGAAAATTAATAATTTGCAAAAGTAGGAAGGAAGTTATTGACTTTGGTCCAATTTTGGGAATGCAAGTTTTCATCAGATCTCCACGTTATGAGATCCTAGGAAGCTGTTCCGACTATTCCCGGTTGGACGTCTGGCAGTGTGTGTGTTTGTATGTAAATAAAATTTGGTCATATGATATCTTTAGAACGAATCAACCGATCGATATTGGCGACACGGTGTTCGAAAGTGTTAATTGAGACTTCAAGCTGATTAGATTATCAAGTCAATCGGTTGAGCCATTTCAAATATATTCAGAAAATAAAAACCAAAAAACAAAAATTAAATAGATTTCTGAGCGTTGCGCTCGAAGTTAATGGGAAGTTCCAGGGATGACCTGCAGGGTCAACCTTTTTCAGATACTTTTTTACTAACATAATGTATTTTTACTGAATAGGTTAAAATACTTTCCCTTTACTATCAATACATGGAACCATACATGGGTCAAGCATTATTTCCTATTACCTTAGAAGCAATGAAATCAGATATAGATGAAATATCACTGCAAGGTATTGAGTTTTGGTCAAATGTAAGTGATGAAGAGATAGATCTTGCTATTGAAGAAGCTGAGGCAGCAGAAGCAGGTAATTTTTTATGCATTAATCCTAAATATTATAAATTTTCTTGGTTATAAGCTGATAAGTTTTATTTAGATTAAATATAAGGGGAAGTCAAAAAGTTCGCGGAATTAAAGGGAGAGGGGGTGATCAAACATGAAATTATTTTTCCTATTTAATATATTCTCTATTAATCCTTATCTTCACGCACAATCCCTGACGGGGTAGCCATAGAGAACAGATCGCCAAGCCTCTTTCAAAGTCAAAATATAGATGGACAATAAAATTATTATTTTTGCTTAGTTTTTAATCTGTATTTTATTATTAATATTACTTTTCTTGTTTTATAGGACGCCCCCCTGTTAGAACATCAAGATTTTATGCTCGAGGTGCATTACAGTATCTAGCACCAGTGCTTATGCAAAAATTAACCAAACAAGATGATTCTGATGATGAGTTAGAATGGAACCCCTCTAAAGCAGCTTCAGTGTGCTTAATGCTTCTTTCCAATTGCTGTGAAGATGAAATTGTACCTCATGTCTTACCATTTATTAATTCAAATATTAAAAGTGAAAACTGGCGGTATAGAGAAGCTGCTCTTATGGCATTTGGTTCTATATTAGGTGGTTTAGAAGCAAATACTCTGAAGCCATTGGTTGAAAAGGCAATGCCGACTCTAATTCAAGCCATGTATGATTCAAGTGTTGCTGTGAGAGACACAGCTGCATGGACTTTTGGGCGTATTTGTGAAATCGTCCCCGAAGCCGCAATTAATGACACCTATCTTAAACCACTCTTAGAAAGTCTCGTAAATGGTTTAAAGGCTGAGCCTCGAGTAGCTGCAAATGTTTGCTGGGCTTTCACTGGTTTAGCTGAAGCTGCTTATGAAGCAGTTTTAACTGGAGACACTACCCAGCCACAAACCTATTGCATGTCCAATTTCTTTGATTTTATTGTCCAACGACTGTTAGAAACAACTGATCGTCAAGATGCAGCTCAACACAATTTAAGGTCTGCTGCTTATGAGGCGTTAATGGAGATGGTTAAAAACTCCCCTACTGATTGTTATGTTACTGTTCAAAAAACAACAATGGTAATCTTAGAGCGACTGCAGCAAGTTTTACAAATGGAAAATCACATATCTAGTCAAGCAGATCGTTCACAATTCAACGATTTACAAAGTCTTCTATGTGCCACTTTACAATCGGTACTTCGTAAAGTTACACCAGAAGACGCACCTCAGATATCAGATGCCATCATGACAGCACTTTTGACAATGTTTGCTGGAAATGCTGGTAAGGCTGGTGGAGTCCAAGAAGATGCGCTCATGGCGGTATCTACCTTAGTAGAGGTCTTAGGTGAAGGCTTCTTAAAGTACATGGATGCATTTAAGCAATATCTTTATGTTGGACTTAAAAACCACCAAGAATACCAAGTTTGCATAGCTGCTGTTGGTCTTACTGGTGACATTTGCCGTGCCCTAAAGAGTAAGGTATGGATGGTCTTTGCAATTGCAACTAACAACTTATTTACTTCTCTGTGTCAACTTTTAGAAGTAATCTAATATTTAAAATAAGTAAATACATCTCTCAATTATTTTATACTTGATTATTTTAATGTTTCAGGTGCTACCATACTGTGATGAAATAATTTGCCTCTTATTGGAAAATCTAGGTGATCCATCAATACATCGCTCCGTGAAACCACAAATTTTGTCAGTTTTTGGAGATATAGCTCTGAGCATTGGCCCCGATTTTGCCAAATATTTTGATGTTGTTATGCAAATGTTGTTGCAGGTACATTTTAATCATATTCATAGTTATATTATTATTAACAAATAACTCCAACTAAGTTTAATGACTTTGTTTAATATTTTACAGGCCAGCAATGCTCAAGTGGATCGTAATGACTATGATATGGTTGAATATTTAGGTGAACTGAGAGAAAGTGTGCTAGAAGCATACACGGGAATCATTCAAGGCCTAAAAGGTTCTACTGGCGAGGTAAATAGTTGTAACACTAATGTTTTTTTAACAATCATTAAATAGTCTAGTGCTTCAATCGGTTTTTTTCGATATTTAGCTAGATTTTGTTCAATGATAGTATAGTGTTTTCGCTTAGATACGGTCGTCTTTGTATCGCGCCGCTTTGGCACATGCCGCATCCTGTCATAGGCGCCGCTGCGACATCGAAGGTCGCTGCGTGAATCTTAGTGAAACTTTCATTGCTACCTACCTTGTGTTTATTATTTATATACGTATTTTATTACAATAACCATAACAATAAAATAAAAGCAAATAATAAGTGCGCCTCCGGGTGTACCGACACTATCTTAGTAGTGGACAGACTATACATACAATTGAACCTGTCAGTTAATCGCCTTAGAATTCTACTGTAGCTGGTCCAGATTGCGCAACAAGGATGTGCACCACTTTCGCATGATATCTAGCAAATATCCACGTCATTTTCGTGCGTAATTAACGACGTAATTAAAAACTAACTTTTATATTGTTGGTGCAGATTGCCAAAAGTATTTACAGATTATCTTAACATTTGGTGAGTATCCATAATTGGAGACCCTTTTTACTTGTAACAAGGCATTCTATGTTACCCTCAGGAACAACATGGGCAATGCAGATAGATATTTTACTTGTTTATCACCCCTGTTGTTCTTTGAACAAAAACAGTAAAACTACTTTTTGTGAAGTTTTTTATGTAATCATAAGAGGAGTTCTCTGGAAGGGGGAGCAGTAATGAAGTCGGTCGATTAAGGTGGGGTAGTTTCCGCAACTCAACTAACATTATTCTCGTCACCCAAGCTCCTCTGTTTTTATTTAAACGAGTACCTGTCAAGTAGTGGAATGGTTCCAGGTGCGGTCGGACGTGGCCCTGGTGGAGCCGCACGTGCCGGCGATCGTGAACTTCATGACGCTGGTGGCCATGGAGCCGGAGCGCACGGACGGGCACATGTCGGTGGTGGCGGGGCTGGCGGGCGACCTGTGCACGGTGTTCGGCGCGCGCGTGCTGCCGCTGCTGGAGACGCGGCCGCTGCTCGACCTGCTGCAGGCCGCGCGCCGCTCGCGCACGCCGCGCACCAAGACGCTCGCCAACTGGGCCACCAAGGAGATCCGCAAGCTCAAGCAGCAGGCGCCCCTCACTAGCTGGTTAGTCCACACCTATTACCTTTTTTTTTTTCCTTTTTTTAACCCCCGATGAAAACAGGAGTGGCATCATATCTCCTGAATGGATGAACCAATTTTGATTAAGTTTGAAAGGTGCCTTAATCGAGAGTATTCTTAGCTATATTTCAAAAAAGTCTGTTCAGCCGTTAAAAATCATCAGCTCTTTTTGTGTCGGGGTTTTGAATTTTTTTTTATTTTAGATTCTAAAAAAACAGCTACTGTCCAAATTTCAGATTTATACAACTAGCGGTTTGGATTGTGCGTTAATAGACGAGTAAATCACTCAGGAAATCCTCTTTTATGTATATAAATATTACATTAAATAAAAAACATTAACCCCACACTAGAATTTCTCCTGTGTTGTGGAGGCAGTTTACAAATGTAAATTTCTCAAGAACAAACATCCAAATACGGAACAATTATTATATGATACAAATATTTATTCCATGCGAGATTCGAACCCGTGAACCTCTGCGATGCAAATCATTGCTTAGCCACTGCACCGTGTAGCCGTCAATCTACTACGGTAGAACTCGTCCTTATATTCGAGATGAACTCATAAATACTGAGGCCTTACTGACAACACTACTTCAGCTGTGCCGCTTTTTAGCCCAAGGTTTTGTATTAAAAATTATACGAGGGCGGCACTGAAAATTTCGGGAATCAAGAAAGTGACACAACATTACTATTTAAAAATGTATTTATTGCTTTTCGAAGTATTTTCCGCGAAATTTGACACATTTTTCGATACGATGGAACCAATCATTGAAGCAACCATTCCATTTGGAAGTTGGGGTCTCCAAAATGTCCGTTTTGTAGGCGTCCACAGCTTCTTCAGGTGATGAACATTTCTGTCCACGCAATTTATTCTTTATTTTAGGGAAAGTATAGAAATCATTAGGGCTTAAGTCGGGGCTGTACGGCGGATGGTCTAATAATTCTATGTTTTCTTGCTCTAAAAACTCTTTTGTTCTGTGTGCGGTGTGAGAACTCGCATTGTCGTGATGGAGGATGATGTGGCGGTTGCAGTTCTCTTTACGGAGTTCAGAAACGACCTGTGGCAAACAAATGCTAGCATACCATTCTGCATTAACCGTTCTTTGTCCCTCAAGAGGAATAGTCGTAACATGGCCGGTTTTGGAGACAAACGTGGCCACCATATTTTTTTGCAACACTCCGTGAACGAACAATTTTTGTTGGCTTTAACTCATTTTCGAACACCCAAACTCGTGACTGGTTTTTTGTTTCGGGTTCGTACGCGTATATCCAGGATTCGTCACCAGATACGATGTTGTATATAGCATTTGAGGATCCTGCGTGGAATCTTTCGAGAGTTCTGACGCACCAAGTAACGCGAGCCGCTTTTTGCTCTTAACAGAGCGAATGCGGTATCCATCGGGAAAACAACTTTTTTACACCTAATTGTTCATGCAAGATTATTTGTATTTGACTCATGCCAATGTCTAAAGTTGCCTGAATTTCGCGGTATGTCACATGTCGATCTTCCTCAATCAGCTTACGCACAGCATCAACGTTTTCTTGGGTGACTGCAGTTTTTGGACGACCTTGACGGGGATCATCACTGAGCTTGACATGTCCATGTTGAAATTCAGCAAACCAGCGAGAAATTGTGGTTTTGGATGGGGCTTCATCACCAAATGCAGAAATCATCCAGTCAACACACTGTTTTTGTGTTAAACCACTTCGAAAGTCATAATAAATCATCGCTCTTGAATTTTCTCGAGTCAATTCCATTTTCTCAACGACTAAACAAGTTTGAGAAAACCTTGTGACAAGACCGAGAATCTTTTTTTAAATAAATAAATGGTATTCGATTTTTAAAACCAAGGAGTTTTCAATTAAAAAGATTTTGATATGACAGTAACAGTGGAAATATTCCATTCCCGATACTTTTAGTGCAGCCTATGTACCAGAAAAATATATTTCTAGTATTATTTGCTATAATTGCGTGACTTTTGTGATATTTACTATTGACTAACATTCATACTACATAAATTCATACTTCATTTCAGATTTGAAACGGCGCAAATCAACAGTGATGTAATGAAGTTCAAGTCAACTTACTGCTGGTAAACTCATGTATTGGAAGGTCATATGTCATCATTATTTGTAAGTCGTTAGGTGCATTCGCTTTCAGGTTGCGAGTTTTCATTTCATATTGTTGTTGCATTCTTGAAGATAGTAAATAATGTTTAAATTACAGTTTTTTTTCTCAATCAATTATAATTTATGATGTTATAATCAATGTACTGGTTGACTTTTCATAGTTGCTGTTTATTACATTGCATTATAATGTGAGTCAGTATTTTTATTTTCATCTATTGTGGCATATAATTATATAATATAATGTATTATATAATTATATAATACCAGTGCCAGTAGATTTAATACAATAGTGAATAATTGCCAGCCTCATGCAATGCACCTTACGCAGCATTCTTGATATTTTATGCCTCAGCATAATCTTTCCATAATATTCTTAATAAAAGCATTTTTTCCTATTTGGTATAGTAGATACAGACAGTGGCTGTGGTATCTTTACTTATGTGACACAAAAGGGATTATACGAAAGTGCTTGTATGAAAGTCGAAGTATGTTATTATAAGGCATGCACATATGCAAGGGATTGTAAGTTTTATAAATTATTGTTACGTTTTGTAAGGAGTATGATAGGATGTATGAAGGGAATTGAAGTGTATGAGATGCGTGAATGATTATCACAGATATTTTGTAAATTTAGGCATGTGTCAATCTTATCGAAGGGTTGGTATAATGTATAAGATTCCGTCAACTTTATTCGAGCGAGATAGAAGGACGCCATATTGGTGAAAATTTCTTTCACTATCACAGATTAATAAAATTAACACTTAGTTTTTTTTTTTAAATAAAAATTTTAAATTTAAAACATTATCAAATATGTATTTTTTTGTATCAATTGTTCGCTTTTAATGCTGTTTGTGAAACAAACATGCTAAGTCACATTTTTCTTTTAATATTTATTTTAAATTAAGTTAGAATCATATTTTTTCTTTCTGTGATGGTTGAATGAAATCTTGCCTTCATATCCCAAGTTCGCATAATTTGTACATATGTAATTAAAACCTTTTAATTTACAATATTGCAGTAATGGGGCATTTTAATATTAACTATGGTATTTAATTATTAAAAAATAATTGTCCAAACATTCGAGAGAAGGCAAATATTACAAAGTGATCGAAATACTGAATCTCAAATTGTTTAGACTTTTCTACAATTTATTTGACAATGCCATTACAATATCAGTAGTGTCCAGTATTTCTTTTAAACCATCACTAAAAATGTCAAATACAAATCCATATGATCCATTTTTATTCTCTTATTATTATATTATGTTTAATACACTATAAAAATTGTGCTTTCTTCAACAATGTGATATGCTACTATTTTTGTGTAACAATTGACGAAAACGTAAACATAATACAAAATAATTTTCCTTTCAGAAGTTAGTTTGCTCCTTAATTATATGTATGTATACCTTAATGAGTGCCTTTTAAATTGACGAATTTATTATCTGTTGTTTTTTTTTTTAAATCCATTGTTCAATACGAGAGTATTTGAAAGGTTTTTTTCTTCACATCCAAATCAATGTAGGTAGTTTGTGTCGTATGGAAAGCCACCTTTAAAGACGTTAAGTTTTCTGTAATTGAAATTTGTAGAGTGTCTGCTAGTCTGTGAGCATCACTGACAGGGATGATGTTTGCGCGAATTATGCAAGATTTTTTATGAGAAGTGTGTTTAACAGATGTTGTACCTTACATACATTTTAAATTTTTTAATCAATTTTTCAGTCACAGTTCTCGTTATCATATAATGTACTTATATCAAAGCATGATAGGAGAATATATGTGAGGATTAGTGCCATGCCGTGAAAGGTTCTGATGTAGAATCATAGGCATTGAGTCGATGAATACCACCCACTTTTCCTGCGCAAATAAATATTAATTCAAATTATTTTGTTACCTTATATTTCTTTTTTTTAAGCCTACAATTAGTATTCTGTAAACTGTTCTACTGTAATAAAACAATTGAAAGTTGCGAATGTTTATTTCTTTCCTCTTATCACTTGCTTCAAGGTAGCACAAGTTGCGGGCTCGAACTCACTGGTGCGCGTGGGCAAAAAGCACGCTGTCTCACCTGGCATCGTGCCCGACAGAGATAGTAACAGTTAGACGCTAGTCTTCACCATAGACTTAAATTTACTGACGTATAGACCACCTGACAGCCCGAAAACCTTTGATTAATTTTGATTTGTTATTGTGTGCGTTAGCTAGTTTTGTATATTTTACTTACAAGGACTATCGAAAATGATTGTTATGGAAGCGGTAAAAAGATTAAAAGAAAGTGTTTAGTGCATGAAGTTGAATAACTTCACAAATTGACTGAATTTTACCATAATAGTTCTAAAATAATTAAAAAGTATTCATATAACATGTTCCTGGGAATAAATTGAACATACCTGCCTTTTGTTGGATTTCAATTAAAATGTATAAAATCCCAGGTGACTTTTCCGAAACTTATAAAAACTCCCCAATAATCAGATCGGAAAGTTGTAGTTTCGAGCTATGATCTTTGGGGAAAAATATTTACTGCCGTGGGCAGTTTCCCCGGAATTTCTTTTTTAACATATTGTTAATATAATGGGGATGAGTCGCTCGCGTCCGTAGGCTTCGACCACCTAATCCTAGGCCCACCCTACACGTGTCCCCCGGGTGGTGCTAAACGAGCGACAAAGCCGAAACGACAGACTCGACTTCTCGCCGTATGGTAGCGGCGTAAAATCTACCACCCCTTAGTTCGCACCATGAGCCAAGTAGAAAAAGAAATGGCCCCGAGTTCCCGGCGCCCCTTTAATGGGGCAGGGGTGCGAAGAATCTCCGGGAGAAAAACCAGCGACGAGGTTCGCCACCCGTCACGTCCTGTCTCCCGGGGGGGGGGGGGGGCCGAAAAGTGGATTGCGGAGGCCCGTCTGGCTACGCTGAATGTATGTGGAGCAATGAACGATAAGATGGATGAAGTATGCGAAATGATGAATGATAGAGGAATAGATGTGTTATGTGTGAACGAGACGAAACGAAAGGGAAGAGATGTCACTGCACATGGCATGTATACCGCTTACTGGTCTGGAGTAGACGAGACCGAGCGGGCATGCCAGGGAGTCGGTGTCATCCTTTCAGAAAGAATGGGTCAATGTGTGAAAGAGTATGAATGTGTTAGCCCAAGGCTGCTGTGGATACGAATGAAAGTGGGCTTAAAGAAGTTGTTTGTGTTAGGGGTGTACGCCCCAGATATGTCTAAGCCCACTTATATCCGAGAGCAGTTTTGGGACATGGTAAGGCTGGTATTGATGAAATGTAAGGAAAATGAAAATATTATTATGTTAGGAGATTTTAATGGAAGGGTTGGGGTGAAGAGGTCTGGTTATGATATTAGTAACGTTTGGCGATGAAAGAATAAATGAGAATGGTGAAGACCTCCTCACCGTATGTGTGGAAAAGAATCTTTTTGTGGCGAACACTTTCTTTCGCCATAAGAGGATTCACATGTATACATGGGAAAGAGGGGATGATAGAAGCATGATAGATTTTATAATTGTGGATGAAAGAATGAGGAGCGCAGTGGTAGATACAAGGGTTTACCGGGGGTCCAACGTAGGGACGGATCATTACTTGGTATTATGCCGAATTAATGGTCTATTCAAACGTTGGCGGCATCGGACATCTGTGTCTACCACTGCGTTACAGCGTATAAGAATAGAGAGGTTACAAGATGAAGGTGTGAAAGAGAAGTATAAATGCAGACTGAGGGAAAATATAGGTGGGTTGAATGAATTATGTATGAATGATTTAGAATTGAAGAATGTATGGAATAATATTAAGAAAGTTTTGGTGGATGCAGCCACCGAAGTATGTGGTGTAAGTAAGAGAACGAATGAAAGGAAAAGTAATACGTTGTGGTGGGATGATGAGGTACGGATGGAAGTTGAAGCAAAGAAGAGAGCATGGCTAGATTTACTAGCAACTAAAGCTGGTAATTCTGGCGGTATGAATGATGAGATTGAAAGAAAAAAAGGCAGACTTTAGACGTATAAATAAGAGAGTAAAAGAAGTTGTTGAAAGGAAAAAGCAAGAAAGGATAGACAAAAATGATAGAAGGATATCTGATAACTTCCAGGAAAATATTAAAATGTTCTGGAAGCTCGTAAGAACTGCCAGGGGAAATTCAAAACAGCCTAGAATGAATGGTATACGAGACGAGAATGACTGCATGTTGAATGATGAAGTTTCGAATTTAAAGAGATGGAAGGAATACTTTGAAAGCGTGTTTAAGAGTGAAGAGTCGTCTGAAATAAGTGAAATAGAAATTCCGGAAGAAGTGGAGAGAGGTAGGGAGATAAGTGTAGATGAAATAATGAAAGCAATGAAAAGCATGAAAGCAGATAAGGCAGCCGGATATGATAGAGTATCACTCGAAATGCTAAGGGCTGGTGAGGGTGTGGTTGCAGGCCTGCTGTACACCTTATTTAATTTGTGTTGGGAACTTAAGCGGGTACCGGAAGACTGGTGCAAAGCCGTAATAGTCCCAATATATAAGGAAAAGGGGTCGCAGCAGGACTGTAAAAACTACCGTGGTATCAGCTTGCTTAGCATTGTGGGTAAACTGTATGCTAAGGTGTTAATTGAAAGAATTATGGAAGAAACTGATGGAAAAATTTGGGATGTGCAAGCTGGATTTAGAAAGGGGATGGGGTGTACGGATCAAGTCTTTTCCATGCGCATGATAGCGGAGAAGTTTTTGGCCAAAAACCAGAAAGTTTTTTGTGCGTTCATGGACTTGGAAAAGGCTTATGACAGAGTGGACAGGAATGTGTTATGGCAAACACTGAACTCGTTTGGGTTGAGCGCTGGCTTGATACAGGCATTAAGGTCTCTTTATAGGGACTCTAGTGCTTGTGTCAGGATCAACGGCGTCTACTCGGACTGGTTTGTTTCATAAAGGTGTCAGACAGGGATGTGTGGCTTCCCCGTGGCTGTTTAACCTATTTATGGACAGTTGTTTGCAAACTTTGAAAGTTGAAGATGTGGGTTGAGAATGGATGAGTCAACCGTCAAATGCCTTTTGTACGCCGATGATCAAGTCATATTTGCATCGTCGGCGGCCGAGTTGCAAATGATGGTTACTTTAATGAATTGGTCATTGAAAGAAAGGGGTATGAAAGTGAACGCAAGTAAGACGAAAGTGATGGTTTTTGAAAGAGAAGAAAGTAAAACTTTATGTGAAATAAGAATAGAAGGGGAGTTGATTGAGCAAGTGGATGAGTTTGTATATTTGGGATGTTTATTTAGCAGGGATGGTAGATATGACAAGGATATAGAACGACGAGTGAACGCAGGAAATAGAGTGAGTGGGGCTCTACACGCTATTATGAGGAGTCAGAATGTGTCAACTAAGGCACGTATGGCAATTCATAATGCTGTGTTAGTCCCTACTTTAATGTATGGTAGTGAAAGTTGGGTCTGGCAGAAGAAGCATGAGAGTAGAATAAATGCTGTAGAAATGCGGTCTTTAAGGAGTATGCTAGGGCTGAATCTGAATGACAGGGTGAGAAATAGTGTGATAAGACAAAAGTGTGGTTTGCAAGATGACGTTGTGACAAGGGTTAAGAAAGGAATGCTTCGGTGGTTTGGTCATGTAGAAAGAATGAACGAGGAAAGAGTGACAAAGCAAATTTATGTTGCAGAAATGAACGGCAGGGTCGGGAAGGGACGCCCTAGACGAAGGTTTATCGACCAAATCGGCGATACATTAAAAATGGGCCAGATTAGGAGTACCGTTAACCGACGAGCATGTATGCGTAGATATATGGATGTAAAAGAGGCGAGAGAGGTGTGTCAGGATCGCGCCAAATGGAAGTCCGTAGTCTCTGCCTACCCCTCTGGGTGACAGGCGTGAGTGTTTATGTATGTATGTATGTATGTTAATATAAATAGGTAGATACTTAACTAAGTATATACGTATTTATATTTTATATAATGTTTTGATGGGGAAATAAAAACGGGGACACGGAGTACATAATGGCTGCTTTATTTTTCATATAATTATTACTTGTGATAATTATAAACATTTAATAATTAAATACATTATAGAACTTTATTTTAACGTTCGACTTAAGTATAAATGTAAACATAATAATTCAAGGAAGGAAACTTGTGGGAATCAGTTAAATAAGATTGCTCTGTTTAAAGGCCAATATGTTTATGATGCGTCATGTTTATATTCTTTCATCTCTCCCTGAAAAGTATAAAGTAATAATAAACTTATTATCATTTTAGCTGCATGAATCTCAAAAACATAATGATCTTAACACAGTTAAGTGGACTAAGAGTCTGGGGATACAGATGCACTCTCTATTTTATCAATCTCGGTATGTTAAGAAAATGGTCACTCATTCATGGACTGACCGCGGCAAATACAACTTAATCTCGCAGATTTGCGCAGCTATTACTTAACCACGAGTTCCTCTTCTCTACGACTAACGCTGTAGGCGATGAACCAAGCTATTTAAGCCCTCGGCTCAATGTCGTCAGCCATCAAGCATGAATCGGGCATCGACCGTTGTATCAAATACTATGGAATTTATACTATCATTACTAAATATCTATACTTAACTACGCTAAAAGTTTTATCATTGTGACTTGGGAATGTTACGAGCTTGGGGTTCGAGACAATTAAAACTGCCGAGTGAATTACCAAAATTGACACTTTAATTAAAGAACACTAATTACAACTTAAGACCACACTAATTACAAAATACAATTGTACTACAGATCACTTTAGTTCGCAGTTTTATCGCTTAGAAGTATTCGCTTGTATCGCCAATTCAATACTGACTCGGTCGTGGTCTATACCGGCCTCAGGCCTCAGATAGTTTCCAGAACCTTTTACTGTAGAAACATCCAGAATGTTCGAGTACATATCGGTCTCGAAATTTCTAGAAGGATCTCCGATCCGAAGCTCCGATCAACCCCTTGGGGAA